GAGCCACGGCCTCCTTTGAGGCTGGTTCCTCTGCGGTTGGTTCCTCTGCAGCCACTTCCAGCTTCTCTTCTGTGGCTGCTTCCTCCACTGCTGGTTCCTCTGTGGCCTCCTCTGTGGCTGGTTCCTCTGAGATCGATGATAGATCTCCTATCAAAAACAGTTTGGTAGAGGGTGGCATGTTTTCTCAAAACCATAGAGGTCGTTAGAGAATTGGGCTTCAACTCATTGGGACACATTCGGCCTTAGCTTTCAGGAGGGCCCTGGCCCCCACTTCACCATCTGAGGCCCCGACCCCCACTTCACCACCCACTTTACCAGCTGTGCCCCCACTGTGACCTTGCCTAGAGCCCTCAAGCGTACAGATCCCCGCCTCCCCACCAGTGCCACTAGCCTGTTCCTCACCCTTGGGCACTGCTTCCTCTGCTGGCTCCTCCCCTGCAGGCTTCTCCTCTGCAGCCTCCTCCGCGGGCTCTTCTGCGGGTTCCCTGGCCATCTCGGCCAGGTCTGCTGGCACCTCAGGCTCTGGGACCAACTCGGCCTCCTCGATCAGACCCAGGTCATCGCCTTCTGGGGCCCCGGCCCCTGCACCCAGCCTCTCGGACACCAGCAGTGGGGGCTCATCAGAGCTGGGCATCACAGGGCGGGGCCCCTCCATCAGGCGGCCACCACGGATCCCGATCAGGATGTGGTCGTTGTGATAGATGCGGTGGAGAAGGTTGTGGACCATGTCCAGGAACTCCACGCGAAAGCCTACTATGGGGTAGCGATGGGCGGCCGCGACCAAGTCGAAGTCTTCCTCCTCCTCTTCCTCCTCTTCTTCCTCCTCCTCTTCTTCCTCCTCCTCGTCTTCCTCCTCCTCTTCTTCCTCCTCCTCGTCTTCCTCCTCCTCATCCTCTTCCTCGTCCTCCTCCTCCTCCTCATCCTCCTCCTCATCATCTGACTCTGACTCCTCTTCCATCTCCACCTCTACCTCTACCAGCCCAATGTCGGATTCCTCCTTGGTGCTCCCGCTCCCGGGGGCTGCAGCCAGGTCTGCCACCTGCTCACCCTCCTCCTCCCTAAGGCCTCCCATGGGCCCTGCATCTCCGGCCACCTCAGCTGTGGGCACCACGTCGCCACTGTTGGGGCCAGAGTCGCCACCCTCCCCGTCACCAGCTCCGGCCGCCTCAGCCTCAGGTGTGGGCACCACGTCGCCACTGTTGGGGCCAGAGTCGCCACCCTCCCCGTCACCAGCTCCGGCCGCCTCAGCCTCAGCTGTGGGCACCACGTCGCCACTGTTGGGGCCGGAGTC